AAAAAAAAAGAAGAAAACCTAGGCAAAGTATCCAAATGATAAGGCAGAAAATACGATCCATGAAAGATGTGCAATTTTAAGGGCCATAGAGACTGGAAAGAGACAGTAAAACCATCTGGCTGAGGGGCATGGACCGTGAAACTGGGATGGGGCAGCATAGCCCAGTGGCAAGAACAGTTCATTGACTTTCAGGTAGGTGTCCTGAGAGTGACAGCGGAGGGTGCCGGGCATGGCTGGTGTCATCTAGCCCCACACTACTCAAACTGTGAACCAACAGCACCAGCACTCCCTGGGAGCTTGTTAGAAATGCGGAGTCTCAGGCCCAACCCCAGACCTGCTGAAACAGAATCTTCATGTTAACACGTCCTCCAGTGATTTCTATGCACAATAAAATCGGGGACTGTGCCACTGTGGCACAGTCATCTCAACCCTGGCTGCACATTAGAATGGCCTGGGTAATTCTACAAAATAGTAATGCACAGTCTGCACCCCAAAAAGGCATTGATTTAGTTCCTGTGGAATAGGACCAGTGGGTACTTTCTAAAAACTTTCCACATGGTTCACACGTTCAGCAAATTTTGAGAACCAGAGCAGAGAGAGAGACTGAAAAATGAGGAAAACACCACTGAGGACTGTAGAGTTTGGGTTCACATCAAGACCCCCAAGACTGAGTCCAGTTTATCCCAGCCAGTGCTCTGCAGGGGCAAAGCCTCTCCAGGCCAAGTGGGGCAGAAGGAAGTGGGAGGCCCAGGCTGATCTGAGAGAGGGAGAGAGGGGAACCTCTGGCCTTTTCCAGGATCCGGATCTGGAAAGCCTTTTCCAGGCTTTCTGGACCCTGATCATTGTTATGTTCCAGTGATTTGCTCTGCAGACCTCAGTTGCTGCTAAATCCTGTCCTGTACAAACCAGGCTAACCAAAATTGCTATGAGCACCGATGCTCCAACATTAACTGCATCTTTGAGTCTGTTCAACACCCTCCCATCTGAGAGAGGGAAGTTAGTATGCAGCTATGAATGAGGCCACCTGGGCAGAGGTAGGGATGAGTAGAAATGTAAGAATTGACTGGACTGCAGTGGTTCTCAAATTTCAGCATGCATCAGAATCACCTGGAGGGCGTGTTCCCACGTGCTTTGCTCAACCCCATTCCCAGAATTTCTGATTTGATTTATCTTGGAGGTGGAGCTAAGAATTTGCATGGGAGTTGGTTTGGACCCAAGGACACATGGTGTGGGATGGAGGTTAAGTATATCTTCTCAGCCTCAGGGTCCTCACTGGTAAAATGTTTGGTCTAGATCAGGGCTTGTCAGCCTCAGCACTATTGATGCTTTCGGCCGATCATTCTATTTTGTGAAGATCTATCCTCTGCATTGTGGATGTTGAGCAGCATCCCTGGCCTCTACCCACTGAATGCCGGCAGCAACAAAAGTGTCTTCATACATTGCCACATGACCCCTGGGAGAGAGGAATTGCCAGCTCATCCCCAATTGAGAACACTGGTTCCTACATAGCTTTCCATTTTTATTCATTTGTGTTCTTTTTTTGTTTGTTTTCTTGTTTTGTTTTTTGATTTTTGTTTTCGAGACGGAGTCTCACTCTGTTGCCCAGGCTGGAGTACACTGGCGTGATCTCAGCCCACTTCAACCGCCGCCTCCCGGGTTCAAGCGATTCTCCTGCCTCAGCCTCCCAAGTAGCTGGATTACAGGCACGTGCCATCACGCCCAGCTAATTTTTTTGTATTTTTAGTAGAGACGGGATTTCACCGTGTTAGCCAGGATGGTCTCGATCTCCTGACCTCATGATCCGCCTGCCTCGGCTTCCCAAAGTGTTGGGATTACAGGCGTGATTATTTGTCTTTTTAATGTGTGGCAAAACCATATTTTCTTATTTTGTGGGAAGTATGCCTCTAAATTATAACAAACATGATGGTTTTCAGAGTAAAACAAATTGCTCTGAAAACGTATATGTTTGGTGAGAAACTGGTCTGTCGCTAGCACAGTGCTTCTTCTGGTACAAGAGCGTTTGGGGGAAGTAGCTAAAAGCGTGTGCTTCGGCACCAGATTGCCTGGCTTTTAAACTTGAGCTGCTCCACTTACCAACTGTGGGGTTTCAGGCAAGTTTCTTTTTTTTTTTCTTTTAACTTTTTATTTTGAACCAATTTTAGATTTATAGAAAAGTTGTAAAAATAGCATCGAATTTCTACATATCTCACTTTTAGCCTCCCCTGAATGCTAACATCTTACATAAACATAGCACAGTTTCTTAACTGCCTTCTGCCTCAGTTTCTTCATCGGTAAAATGAAGATCTAAGACTACCTATCTTAAACAACTGTTAAAAGCTTTGGATGGAATAATTCACAGAAAGTACTCAGAATCATCCCCGGTACATACTGAATGCTCAAAAATGTCAGTTATTATTTTTTGTTATTCACTGTGGCTTTAAGATCTTCAGAAAACAGTGCATTTTCAATAGAGAAACAGATCCCAGTGGGTGAGATATGCCTGGCAGCCTTAGCTATCAGTTGCCAAACTACCTGTGTTGTACTTCCATCTGGCTGGGCTTGCATTTAATCCGTACATCCCTAGTCCACCTGCTTCTCCACTCCCCCGTCCCTGCTTCCAAGCATCCCGAAAGACCCTCTGGCCTTTCCCAGGACCTGGACGTTATCAAGGTCTCTCGGACCCTGATCATTGTTATGTTCTAATGATTTCCTCTGCGGGCCTCAGTTGCTGCTAACGCCTGTCCTGTACAAGCCAGCCTAACCAAAATTTCTATGAGCACCGATGCTCCAACATTAACTGCATCTTTGAGTCTGTTCAACACTCTCCCTCAAGAGCCCCTCTACAGAATTTTACACAAAAGCACAGATGCCTCCAATCCGAAAGTGCATCATAAATTCTTGCTGAGCGTGAGGTTTCTGGGCTTCGGTGTTTCGAGACAGAATGCTGAGTCAGAATGAGCAGCAGAAAAGGTCCTAGGCTCGTGCCTTAGTCTTCGCCCAAAGGTAGCAGAGCAACTTATAAGCGCTAATTAAACTTGCTTTCCCACTCCCTAATAAGGCAAGTGCTCTGTATATTTTATGGACGGGAAAACTGGGAACAAAGGAGAGAACCAGGCTTTGCCAGTCACGTAACTCGCAGGATGATGAAGGCTGCAAGAGGCTCCACGGCAGAGCTGGGCTGGGCTGTGAGCCCCACGCAAACCAGCAGAGCTTGATCTGTTTGGCCAGCGTCCTGGCTGCTGAAGCCTGCTTCTGCCAGGATGGCATTGATATTCTGCACGTAGAAAAGAAGTCTCAGTTTCAAACTAATTGCTGTGAGCTCAAACGCATACAGTCATTAGCGCTTCACTCTGGGAAGAGAGCTGAATCCTAATTGTAGAACTGTCATGCATCCAGGCAAACTGTGTACTCTGGAGACAGCCGTGCCCAGTGGTAGATGGTTCAGCTGCCCCCCCCAACCCCTCCCACTGTTTCACACACACAACCCTACAGCCATATCTCTACAGAACTAGGCTACCCTTTGCTCTTCTAGCACCCTGGACTTAGCCGACCTGCTGAGGCTCATTCAAAACCTCGCACCCGCCCCAGCTTTTGGATTTTGCTTCTGAGAACATAAGAGGCTGGAAATTCCCAAAGACCTTCTGGGGCCGGGCTGGACAAGGCTGTGGGCTAGCCTGAAACTGTGTCCCTTTCATCTTTGCTCTGTTGCTGATCATTTTTGCTTAACCCTTTTCCAAGCACCGGGTGTGACAATAAATGGTTGAATTTCACTTCTGCCTCTCCTCCGACTGCTAGAGAGTAATCTAGAACATAGATCTGAGTGGGTCAAGCTTCAGGATAAATCCTCCTCTGACTCCAGACTAAGTTTAAGAAAAAGTCTGATTTTCTAAAGAGAAAAGCACTAACAGCCCTCTGGGTCTGGCCCAGCCTAGCCTTGCTCCATCTGTAAAGGGTGACCTGTTCTGGAGGTGTAGTCTGGGGGGTGGCTGTGAGGAGTTAAACCAAGACAGGGTCCACAGTTGCGATGAGAATGGTCACGTAGATATCCCTCATGTTAGCTGGTATTTCTAAGCATTTTCTGTAGGCTATGCACTTCACAGACTTTATTTCATTTACTTAGAACAAGCTCAGCAGGTAGCTGTGGCATCCTCACCATCACACAATACCTGAAAGCACAGGCTCCAGGATCCATTTGCCTGGATTCAAATCCTGATGCCCCAGTTAGTAACTGTGTGACTCTGGGCAGATGTTTCCATCTCACCACGCTTCTATTTTATCTGAGATGGTGATGATGTAATTGAAGTGCCCCCCTCCAAGTATGGTGAAGCTCAAATGAGTTAATACGTAAGTAGTGGTCAGAACTGTGTCCGGCCAGTGGTCAGCCCTAATGCACTTCAGCCATTGCTACAGAGAGAACCCACATTCAGGGAGTTGAACACCTGTTTGCTGTTCCCTCCCATGCTCTTAACCACAGTGTGATAAATATGGATGTGGGCAGCCAGATTCGTTGTTTTGTTTTGAGATGTAGCCTCGCTCTGTCAACCAGGCTGGAGTGCAGTAGCATGATCTCGGTTCACTGTAACCTCCACCTCCCTGGTTCAAACGATTCTCCTGCCTCAGTCTCCCGAGTAACTGGGATTACAGATGTGCACCACCACACCCGGCTAATTTTTGTATTTTTAGTAGAGACAGGGTTTCACCGTGTTGGCCAGGCTGGTCTTGAACTCTTGACATCCAGTGATCTGCCCGCCTTGGCCTCCCAAAGCGCTGGGATTATAGGTATGAGCCACTGTGCCTAGCAGTGGCCAGATTTCTTTTAGACATGCACCCAGGGCCTGTCAGTAAAGGGTCTGGAGTGTGGTCATCATGCCTGTCTTTCAGTGAAAGGGGCCATAGGACAATTCTCTGTGCTGTGTGTGACTACAGGCTCCCAGCTTTAGTTATGACCCTTCCACTGAAATGCAATTGAGGAATTTCTCGCTGATTGATTGGTTCACCAGGTAAAAAGCATTCAAGATGCGATTAGAGATAAGAAGCAGTGCTTCAACTTCCTTGGGGAGGAGATCAGCCTGAATCCTTCTGTCGGAATCTTCATCACCATGAACCCGGGCTATGCCGGCCGCACGGAGCTGCCAGAGAACCTCAAGGCTCTCTTCAGGTGAGTGTCAGCTCTGCCCCATGCAAAAGCCCCAAAAGAGAAGTTTCTTTCATTTTTCCACTTCAAATGTGTGATGTATATTTTAAAGAAAATTTGGAACATTTGGAAAAGTAGATTTTTAACAACCATCTTTAATGTCTTTAATGCAGTAAAATTGCTTTCTGCTTAATTGTGTTCTGTTCTTCTTTGTATACACATTTTAAATCCACACGTCAGTAGCCTACATTTGCGGTCTACATAGTTTTGCGTTGTTTTGTTTTTTTGTTTCATAGTCTCTCATATCATAACTATTTCCTTCTATTAGATATTCTTGATAAATCTCATTTCATGGCTGCATGTTTTTTTTATCAAGTGCATGGTTTACAATGTAATTAACTACTCCCGCATGGTTAAATATTAAGACGTTCTAACATTTAAAGTAAATTTATGCATAATGCTGTAATGTACATCTTTGTACATAAATCTTTTTTTCTGTATGCATGATTATTTTCTTTGGCTAGCTTCCCAGAAGTGGAATTACTGTGTTAATGGGTAGAAACATTTTTAAGGCTCTTGATACACATTGCCAAATTGCTTTCTAAAAAGAGTAGTACCAAATTGCACTCCTCGTAGAGATGCATGAGAGCACCTCTTTTACTTCACCCTTGCTACCGGTGGACATTGCCATATTTTAAAATCTTCTTTACTTTGATAAGAAAACACAAATGCATTTCTTCACAGGAGCTGGAGGCTGCATTCTTTTTGCAGAAAGGAAAAGTTGGCCCAACAAAAAGAAAACTGAAGAACACTTTGTGCCTTCTGATTTTCTGGTTACTGAACTTTTACCTAAGGGAGATAGACTGTGGGGAGCTATGACAAAACTTTTTTTTTTTTTTTTGAGACACAGTCTCGCTCTGTCGCCCAGGCTGGTGTGCAGTGGCCAGATCTCAGCTCACTGCAAGCTCCGCCTCCCAGGTTTACGCCATTCTCCTGCCTCAACCTCCCGAGTAGCTGGGACTACAGGTGCCCGCCACCTTGCCTGGCTAGTTTTTTGTATTTTTTAGTAGAGACGGGGTTTCACCGCATTAGCCAGGATGGTCTCGATCTCCTGACCTCGTGATCTGCCCGCCTCGGCCTCCCAAAGTGCTGGGATTACAGGCTTGAGCCACCGCGCCTGGTCGACAAAACTATTTTGTCTCATTTTTGGACTGAGAAACATAGTGCTGTCTGTCCAGAGAGGTTGTCAACACTTTATTGGATTTCCAGAGGCGTAGGAGGTCACTGGGCAGCTCCCTGAGTACTTCACTCTCTCAGTCGTGGCAAATTCATGTGTCGCTGGAGTGATGGCAGCTTCTCCTTCTTCAGCCAGGTCCCTGTGTTAACCAAGAGCTCTTGGAATGCCAGCAAGCTATCTAAACGGGTGCTACAGAATACTGCATTGTTGGCAATTTTTTTCTACAAAGTATTTATTAAATAAGCGTTGTGTTACAAATGATTATAGAAGTAGGTTATCACCCAGATAAGAATTCTTTCTTACCTTTTTTCTTGCTGAATCTTTTTTGCTGAATGGAATTGTCTTTGCCAGTTCAGGGTGCCATAATAAACATACCGCAGACTGGGTGGCCTAAACAGCAGACATTTATTTCTCACAGTTCTAGAGCCTGAAAGTTCAAGAGCAGGGTGCCAGCATGGTCAGGCTCTGGTGAGGGCTCTCCTCCAGGTTGCAAGCGGCCACCTTCTTGCTGTATCCTCACATGGAGGAAAGAGGATGAGCTAGCTCTCTGGCCTCTTCTTATAAGGGTATTAATCCCATTCATGAGCGCTCCACCCTCATGACCTAATGACCTCCCAAAGGCCCCATCTCCAAATACCATCACATTGCATTTTGGGGGCACACAACATTCAGTCCATAACACATACCCATAGAAGGAAATTTGGAAATAAACAAATGTATTTTTCAAAAATAGTAAGTACAAACATCTACTTTTACATTTAATTCTCTCAAAGGCCCTATGAGGTGGATAGTACTAGTTTCTCCAGTGTATAGTGAAAAAACAGATGCATTCAGCAAATTGCTCAGGATAGTAACCCTAGTTACTAGGGTTAGCTAGTGAACCAACTAGTAAGCGGCAGAATGCTAGAGTTTGAAACCAGAGTCCCTGCTCCTCCCCCCGCCCCAGTCCTGTCATCCAGGAACAATCAGTGTAACCGTTTGGCATTTTTTTTCCAATACGGCATCCGTAGCACATTTCTTTTTCAAAATTGGGATCAGACTCTATATAGTTTAGTATCCTACTTTCATTAACTAATGTTTTTTTGTGTCATTATGTAATTTTCCTTTCACACCACTATTTTTCATGACTGCATAGTATTCTGTTGTACCAATGTATATTTACTCTCATGTGCAAGTTGCAAAATAATTTTGAGAATTTAAGCATTTGGTTGCTCCTTTGAATTTGAATACAATCTAAAATATTTCAAGAAAAAAAATGTGCTCGAATGAAATGTTTATGAAAATTTCATATCAGTATAGGGAAAATGCAATTAAAGAAATGTAACAACCTTAGGTTCCTATTACATACCTAACAAATTAATAAAACGTAAGTAATTTTAAAATCAAATGTTTTTAGTGCCAGAGGAAAAAGAAAATCGCAACAAAGAGTTCTAGAAAACCCTTTCTATATTATTGTATATGCCATTCTGTGTCAAGATAGTGTTAATAAACATTGAGCTGGTGCAAATGTAATTGCAGTTTTTGCCATTGAAAGTAATAGCAAAAACCGCAATTACTTTTGCACCAACTTAATACACACTTCAGACCTTATCATTAGAAATTTACATTTGTATTCAAACAAGTACAGGATACACCCTGGGTGTCTAGGCTTACAGGAGACACACATTTTGAGAAGGAAGAATAGGGGAACTCTCAGTTTCTTGAAAGTAATGGCAAAAACCACAATTACTTGTGGACCCACTTAATACATGCTTTAGGCCTCATCATGAGAAATTTACGTTTGTATTCAAATAAGTACAGGATAAGCTCTGCATGTTTAGGATTAGAGAAGACACATACTTTGAGGATGAAGAATAGGGGAACTCTCAGTTTCTTGTAGATACCCAGAGAAATTCAATTCCTTATTCTAAGCCTCGAATCTGTTCTAGACAATTTGCTTCACTAATCCATGCCTTGTGTAAGACACACTGAACTCAAGTCACAAGACTTGAGTGGTAGCTCCAAGTCTGCCCCTGCCTGCTAACATTATCCAGCCCCTTAGGAAGGCGACTTCATTTCCTTTATCCTTAGCTAACTCATCTCTAAGTTGAAAGTCTTCATGCTAACTGCAGCAACACATAGAATACATTGAAAGTCTTAGATGAAATAATGGCTCAGGTCTTTCCATGAGTTTTTGCACTCGCAGTTGCCTCCATGTGTGATCTCGGCCAATGCCTATTTTCTTGCAGGTCTCCTCTTCAACACTGTTACTTGGGAAACTGACTGGGCCTTCTGTCTTCCTATACTCAGGCCTTGTGCAATGGTGGTTCCAGACTTTGAGTTGATCTGTGAAATCATGCTGGTGGCAGAAGGATTCATTGAAGCCCGGTCATTAGCCAGAAAGTTCATCACTCTTTACCAGTTGTGCAAAGAGCTTCTCTCCAAACAGGTAGGATCTCTAAGGAGGCTACACAACCCAGCACTGTGCAACAGCCCTAGCTCTGGAAACGTTCTGGAACAAATGTATTAGGAAAACATGCTCGAGCTTTCTCATAGAGAGTCACTGTGCCCATAAGCATATCGAAAGCTCTGAACACTTCCACAATAAAGATTTATGTTCATTTCTTTAGCTCTGCATTTTTCAAAATTAACCTCAAAACTCCATTTTTTAATAGAATACTTAGCAACATGTCACAGATACCAGTGTCCCATGAGAGACATTACAGTGGTCAATAAAAAACCCCTGGAGGAAATGGTCTGTACCTGAAGGGACATAGATGAGGAGAGTCAGGGAAGAAGGTTAGTTGTTAACCAGCTTTGAGCTTCTCATAGTTGCTTGGCCTTACCTGTAGCTTCCGCCTAAGGCAGGGGGAAATTCACAGAAAAATTGCACCTTAGCAAAACATTACCTGCAAGGTTTCTGCCTTGAACAGAGAATTTCTTTTTGTCAAGGACAGATGACCAAGCTTCCCTGGGCTGTCCCCAGTGAGCTTTGGGAATATCTTGTTTTGATCACCTTTACTGCCATAACACAGGCTGTCTCAGCCCTGTGGAGTCTGTCCAAGATGCAGAAAATCCTGTTTTCCTTATACTTCTTTTCTCATTGTACCCCCTCTCTCGGTTCTTTCCCAACGTTGACTTCCAGGCCAGTGACTCCCTCTTTTAAGGCTTTATCCCAAACCTCTCTTTTGAGCTCTAAACCTGTACATTCAATGGTCTGTACCACAGCTCCCCCGAGTGTTTAAAAAGCTCCTCCAGCTCACACTCTAAAGCTGATCTCCATCAGCTCTAAGCCCAAGCTTCCTTCTCCTGTGTTCCCAGCCTCAGTATGCTGACCCCTCATTCACTCATTTGCTAACTCTAGGACCCTGGGAGTTACCCTGGACCATTTTCTCTTCCTTGGCCCTGTATATAATTTTTAATGAACCCTTAATGATTCTATGTTCTGGATATTTCTCAAATAAGTCTCATTTCCTTTCCCTATTCATTGCTACCACTTGAGTTCCAAGCACCCATATCTGTTGTTTAAACTATTGCAACTGCCTTTCTACTAGTTTTTCCACCTCTATTCTAATTCCTCAGATCTGTTCTTTAGCCACTTGCTAGAGTGATGATTTAAAAACGCTCCTCACTTGTCCTAAGATAGAGACCAATGTCCTTATCACTCTCTGCTAAAGACTTCAGGGTGTTCTGTCTCCTCCTACCTCCACGGCAGCGGCTCACAGCTCTCTCCCTGTCGTGTGGTGCTCCATCTCCATTGATCTTTTTTGAGTTCCTTGAAACTGATTGTCTTCTCACCTGAGCTTGTGGACATCCTGTTCTCACTTGCCTTGACTGCACTTCTTTTTCATCTGTGCCTGACTGAATTCCACTCCTTTAAGGTCTTCTTTAATGCCATTTCCTTAGGGTAGTCTGATCCATATCCTGGGTACAGCCACTGTGTTCTTAGTCATCATTGCACACTGCATTTTTCTTTGGTAGCATTTTACTTTTTTAATTTTTTTTTGGAGACAGAGTCTCTCTCTGTTGCCCAGGGTAGAGTATAGTGGTGATCTCAGCTCGCTGCAACCTCCATCTCCCATGTTCAAGCAATTCTCCTGCCTCAGCCTCCTGAGTATCTGGGATTACAGGCACCCACCACCACGCCCAACTAATTTTTGTATTTTTAGTAGAGACGAGGTTTCACCATATTGGCCAGGCTGGTCTCAAACTCCTGACCTTGTGATCCACCCGCCTCGGCCTCCCAAAGTGCTGGGATTACAGGTATGAGTCACTGCACCCAGCCTCCTTGGTAGCATTTCTCATGGCTCTAATTAAATAGCAATCTGCTACAAGTCAAGTAGAGGAGCTGGGACTTGAACAGAAGTCTGAGTTCAGACTCCATGCTCTGTTCTGCCCACTACAGCTCCTTCCCACTCCATGCTGCTGCCTGAAGCCTGCTATCAGCAGTGTGGTCTGCTCTCCCACAGACCCTACTGGCAGCACCGTGACCAGGGGGTTCATCTTTGATAGAACCCACTTTAAGGAGCTATTCTTGAAACCTCTTTTCCCATAGAATGTGAAGGTCTCCAAGGCAGCGCTTGTAAGCTCAGCATCTGCCATCTCTAAGAGTTAACATGGCTCCCTCCTTGACAGCCCTTCCAATTCTACCTGCTGAGTGTGCAAGGAGTAGCCAGATAGGTTTGAAAATGGTTCTGTTTGATCTCTCTGACCCCTACATCATTTGTATGTTCTATGTCTGCCCTGCTATTGTCACAACTGGAAAAGTAGCTAGCGTTCGACCAGGAACTAGAATTCTGGAATCATAATTTTCTAAGTCATTCCTTCCCATGTCTCTGCCCAAGCTTCAGAGGTGATCTAATGGTGATAGGATATTTATGATTCTGCAGACACTCACCCTAGCACATGGTGTTCTGTCTCTCTGCCACTTTGGTCTAACACTGCCCACAGGATCATTACGACTGGGGCCTGCGGGCCATCAAGTCCGTGCTGGTGGTGGCGGGATCCCTGAAGCGAGGAGACCCTGACCGGCCTGAGGACCAGGTCCTGATGCGCTCCTTGCGGGACTTCAACATCCCCAAGATTGTGACTGATGACATGCCCATCTTCATGGGCCTGATCGGGGACCTCTTTCCCGCCCTGGATGTCCCCCGGAGGAGAGACCCCAACTTCGAGGCTTTGGTTAGGAAGGCAATAGTGGATCTGAAGCTCCAGGCTGAGGACAACTTTGTGCTCAAGGTACACATGGTTTTTCCTCCCAGGATTTCTCTATCTCTTACTTATTGTCCTTGACAATGGGTTATCCTTCATCCGTAATCCAAAGTGTTGTTTTAGATGTACAAATATGTTTTAGATGTAAAAATCCCTAGTTAGTGATAATTCATTTCAACCGCTCTTCACTGGGGACCCACAATGTGGAATGAATGGTAGGGAATACAAGGGAAAGTTGGAGGATCCTTACTTTATAGCCCTTCCATTCTGTTTGGTGTACCTCAGCCTGAATGCCAACTATCTGCTCACTCACCCACAAATGAAAGGACAGAGGCCAAGATCTGGCCACATCTACAGAGCCTCCACTCAATCCTACTATCCTGGGTGGAGACCAGCAAAAGAGAGCACCTGGGACCAGCAGAGAATACACCTCCCAGCCTCCTAGAAAACACAGCACAGCTCCTTATTTAACCTTGAGGCTTACCAGATATTGAAGAAACCCAACAACACGCGAGATAAAGACAAATGGACAGACACAGACAGACAGACACACACACACACAACAAAAACAGCCAGTGAAAATAACAAAGAGAACATTTTTAAAGTTCTGATTAGCATCTTTGAAGGAAATTTTTAAAATGATATCTAACAAACAAGAATTAGATGCCGTTGTACAAAATAAAAAGCACTATTGGAGAATTATAAAGACCTGTTTTAAATATAAAATTGTATGATTGATGGCATTCGAAATTCAGTGAGAGGATGGGAAAATAAAGCGAAAGGCAACATCCCAGGATAAAGCTATAAACAGTATTATGTATTATGTGTGTGTGTATGGTAAAATATTCACACATGCACACACACACAGAGACAAAGTGTGAGAGGTGAGATGATGTACAGAGGATCAATTTAGGTTATCCAACATGTTACTAGAAAGAATTCTAGAAAAAGAACAGGAAGCTAACTAGAGCTGGAAAGACATGTATCTACATTGTAAAGACAGTACTGAACAGAATGACTTTAAATGAGTCTGTGCAGGGACACACCATAATGCAATTTCAGAGGTCAAGAATCAAGAGAAAACAGTAAGTCTCCTAGTTGAGTGAGGAGGTAATACTAGTGTATTAATACCTGAGACAGGGTAGTTAGGAAAGAGGTTTAATTGACTCACAGTTCTGCATGGCTGCAGAGGCCTCAGGAAACTTACAATCATGGCAGAAGGTGAAGGAGAAGCAAGTCCTTCCTCACAAGGCAGCAGGAAGGAGACAGAAAGAGTGCAGGGGAAATAAAGAGCTGTGGACACCCTTTGTCTTCCTTGCACAGTGCATTTTTCCTTCGTAGCATTTATCACAGCTCTAGTTCAATAACAATCTGCTACAAATCAAGTGGAGGAGCGGGTGCTTGAAATGAAGTCTAAGTTCAGACTCCATGCTCTGTTCTACATGCTACACCTCCTTTCCGCACCATCCTGGTTATAAAACCATCGGATCTCGTGAGAACTCACTCACTAGCACAAGAATAGCATGGGGGAAACTGTCCCCATGATCCAATCACTTCCCACCAGGTCCCTCCCTCGACACATGGGGATTTGAGATGACATTTGGGTGGGGACATAAAGCCAAACCATATCAACAAGTGATCCAGGAAAGGAATTCAAGAGGAACTCAGAATCTCTTGTCAGCTAAATTGGATACTAGAGAACAAGAAAACCATTCCTTCAAATTTTTTGAGGGAAATGATTTCAAGACTAGAATTCTATATAACCAAATTATCATCCATGATATTCTCAGAATCATAAATGTTACTTCTTATGCACCCTTTTTGAGTAAGTTACTTGAGGACATACTACAGCAAAACAAGAATGAAAAACAAGAAAAATACTGTGAGATTCAAAAAAATCAAGAATCAAGAAAAAAAAAAATCCTGAAATGACAGCCGTTAGCAGGCCTAGAAAGCAATCAATTCAACTTAGAGCAGGAAGTCAGTAGTCTCCCAGAAAAGAGAACCTTAAGAAAAGTGAACTTATTCAAAGCAAGAATGGAGTAATAAGCTGCAAGTTCTTGTGTGTTTTATTGAACTTCTAAGTTATGGGGACTGTGACGGTTCATTTTATATGTAAATTCGTCTGGGCCACAGAGTGCCCAGATGTTTGGTCAAACATCATTTTGGGTGTGTCTGTAAGGGTGGTATAAAGTTCCAATTAGACAAGATGAATAAGTTCTGGAGATCCATTGTACAGCTTGATGACTATAATCAAAAAGATTATTGCATACTTGAAAATTTCAATGAGAGTAGACCTTAAATGTTCTTAGCACAAGAAAGTGATACGTATGCGAGGTGAGATATATGTTAATTACTTTGATCTAATCATGTCACAATGTATACATATATCAAAACGTATTATACACCATAAATATATATAGTTGTTATTTTTCAATTGTACCTTAATAAAGCTAGGGAAAGAAGAGGAAAACAGTGTTTATACATTCTACAACATGACTGAAAACATCTTTCTAAGTCAAAAAAGAACCAGTCACAAAATACCACATATTGTATGATTCTATTTATATGAAACATACAGAACAGACAAGTCTTAGAGGCAGAAAGTAGACCAGAGGTTGCATAGGACAGAGGTGGGGGCGGGGAGTGGGGATTGACTGTTAATGGGTATGGGGTTTTCTGTTGGGTTTTCTATGTTCTAAGATTCGATAGTAGTGATGGTTCTACAATTATGTGAAGATACTAAAAGTCATTCAGTTGTACACTTTAAAGGGTGAATTTTATGGTACATGAAGTATGTCTCACTAAAGTTGTTGACGTGAAAAAAGAAAAGGTGATGGATCTAGAAAGCAATTTTAAATCTTCCCAGCATCTCTGGTAAATCCCTTGTTTATGCAAAGGAACAAACAAAAGTCTAGGAATATAATACAATCTCCATTCAGGAGCCAGAGTACCATCTCCCCCTCCCTCTCCTCTCCCTCTTCCTCCTCATTCCTCCCCTTCCCCTTCCTTCCTTCCTTCCTCCCTCCCTCCCTCCCTCTCTCTTTTTCTTTTTTCTTTTCTTTCTTTCTCTTTCTTTCTTTCTTTTTCTTTCTCTCTTTCTCTTTCTTTCTTTCTTTTTCTTTCTCTCTTTCTCTCTCTCTCTCTTTCCTTTCTTCTTTTTCTTTCTCTCTCTTTTCTTTTCTTTCTCTTTCTTCTTTCTTTTCTTTCTGCAATGACCTCAGGTCAATTTCATGCTTAAAACCTCCAAATGCTTCCTATTATACTTAGGATGAAATTCCAGCTACCAATTTCTGCATCTCTTTCTGGCCCCTGCTTGCCTCTTTTGTCTCACCTTGCGCCGCTCTCCCATTTTTGCCCCTGGTCTGTCAGCCCTCTAAGCTTGATGCTGAACTTAAGGTTTTTGCACTCACTGTTGCTGTACCCGGAATGGCTTTTCCTGCTGGCCTTCACATGGCGGACTCTCTTTCACTCATATCTGAGCTTAAGCCTCCTTGGAGGTTCTTCCCAACTCTCTCCTCATTCCTATCTGAGATGATCCTGCATAAAGTCATTGAAGGAAGAGACTCTCTTCTGGGTGCTTTTGGGCCCTGAATCATAGGAACAGCAACGCCCTGGGACAGAGTAAAAAAGACACTGATGCTGTGGACAACAAGACGCAAAGTAATATCTCAGGAAATGATCCTGCCACACTGACACTGATCTTCTTGCCCCCAAACAGCCATTTTAATCTACTACCTTCACACTGAGCTTAGCACTGCTGCTCTCCTCCTAAATTCCCTGGTCGTAGAATTCTAGAATTCTAACACCTGTATCATTTAAATTTCGAAAATATAGGAGTCCTGGCCAGGCGCAGTGGCGCACGCCTGTAATCCCAGCACATTAGGGGGCCAAGGTGGGTGGATCACCTGAGGTCAGGAGTTTGAAACCAGCCTGGCCAACATGGCAAAATCCCGTCTCTATTAAAAAATACAAAAATTAGCTGGGCGCAGTGGCAGGTGCCTGTAATCCCAGCTTACTTGGGAAGCTGAGGCAGGAGAATCACTTGAACCCAGGAGGTGGAGGTTGCAGTGAGCTGAGATTGTGCCATTGCACTCCAGCCTGGGAGACAGAGTGAGACTCCATCTCAAAAAAAAAAAATATATATATATATATATTATATATACACATACACACACACACACACACACACACATAGAGAGAGAGAAGGTCCTTACTTATTTTTTCAAACTATAGAAAAAATAAAACATACAGGAAAAAGCTTATTCTCTCACTGCCCAGTCAACATTTTGGTGCATTTTCTGTTCGGTTCACCTTTCCTCTGCTAAGGATCTTATAGGGCGAAATCTGAACTACAGTAAAGTTCAAATTTTTTTCTCATGATATGTAAGACCTTTCACAATCAGGCCCATCCAGCCTTTCCGGTCATCCTTCACATTTTCGACAAGTATTCGTTCATCATTTGGCACGTGCCAGCTTCTCTGCTAGACTTTGTAAGGAGAGAGAAAAAGCTCAGTCCTGCCTACCTTCAAGGAGCGGATAATAGAATATGGGGACAAAAAAAAGTAACCACTGCAGTATGTTGGATACTAGGATGTAGGCTAGTATGGGACATCTGTACTAGGCATGGGTCAGACTGAAGGCTTCCTGAGGAATGTGCAAAGGTTTAGACAGAAGACGGCAGGAGAAGTCACTTTTGTTTTTTGTTTGTTTCTGTTTGTTTGTTTGTTTGTTTTTGAGATGGAGTCTCACTGTTGTCGCCTAGGCTGGAGTGCAATGGCACGATCTTGGCTCACTGCAACCTCTACCTCCCAGGTTCAAGCGATTCTCTTACCTCAGCCTCCCAAATAGCTGGGATTACAGTCGCCCGCCATCATGCCCAGCTAATTTTTTGTATTTTTAGTATTTTTGTATTTTTTAACCATGTTGGCCAGGCTGGTCTTGAACTCCTGAACTCAGGTGATCCACCTGCCTCGGCCTCCCAAAGTTCTGGGATTACAGGGGTGAGCTGCCGCATCCAGCTGAAAGTCACTCTGAGCAGAAGGAACGGATACAGGAAAGAGCACCATTTAAGAGCTCCAAGTAGTTCTCTGGCTGGACTGTGTGTGTTGCAGGATAAGAGATAAGACTGGAGTCTGATTTGGGCCAGACTGCAAAAAGACCTTGTAAACCAATCTAAGGATTTGTATTTCATCGCCAGAACCATGGAGGCCAATGAAGGGGACAGAGTGAAGGCAGTGGCTGGTCTGATTTTTATTCCAGTAAACGTGCTGCAACAGTGTGGAAAGCTGTGCCTGGAGGCAAACCAGCCCAAGAGTGATGAGGCCTTCAGTGCCACCATGGTCCCCACAGGACTTCTGACTCCAGCCTCCCCAAACCATCTGGCCAACCAGTCACATCATACTCTGTCACACTGCAAGCCTTTCTTCGTGCTGTTACCTCTGCCTGGAATTTCCTTCCTCTTCTGGGCAACCTCCTACTCATCCCTGGAGCCCTTGTTCAAATGTCCCCTCCTTTATGAAGCCTTTCTCATTCCCTTTATGTGTACAAAATCAATAGTTCCCTCCTCTCTTGTTTCCACAGCACCTTATAAATACCTCTGAGATAGTACTTATCCTCTTACCTTAGAATAATTTGTCCACATGACTTTCTTCTCCATCACACTCTAAGATCACAGAGGGCAGGAGAATCACATCTGAATTCCCCTCAACTGGCACACTCTGTAGCACTTCATTGGTGACTAATAATTATATACCTGAATGATGAATACAGGAACAAATGAATTGTTTTGCCCCTATATTTCAGACCTCCTCGCGTCTTGGGGTAGATAACTCTTCCTCTGTTGACTTCAGGTCTCACTTCACACACCAGCTGGGGTCACAGGAGAGCGGCTGGGATGCAGGTGAGTCGCAGACTGGTCCCTCTGGCTGAATTTCCTGCCTCCCCAGGTGGTCCAGCTGGAGGAGCTCCTGGCTGTGCGGCACTCTGTATTCGTGGTTGGTGGCGCTGGTACCGGCAAGTCACAGGTGCTGAGATCCTTGCACAAGACCTATCAGATCATGAAACGGCGCCCCGTCTGGACTGACCTCAATCCCAAAGCAGTCACAAATGATGAGCTCTTTGGCATCATCAATCCAGCCACGCGAGAATGGAAGGATGGTAAGTGTGGGATTCTCCCAGGAGAAAGTCTCTGCTAGCCTCAGAGCCCCTGTGGCGGGCTTGGATGCAGTTGGGTGAATTGCAGAAGTAAACATTGGACTGATCTGCTTGGGACCACAGAAGAAGATGAAAAAACCAGTGGAAAAGGAGAAGGGGGAAACTAGTTTTGGCTTGGAGGGGAACTTCAGTTTTTCAGATGTTCTCCCTCCTTGGGGACCTCTTCCAGCTGCCTTTTAGAGAGTGCATTTAAAGAGGAGAAAGCAGGCCGGGCGCGGTGACTCACACCTGTAATCCCAACACTTTGGGAGGCGGAGACGGTGGATCACGAGGTCAGGAGTTCGAGACCAGCCTGGCCAATATGGTGAAACCCCGTCTCTACTAAAAATAAAATAAAAATATAAATAAATTAACTGGGCGTGGTGGCGCACACCTGTAGTCCCAGCTGCTCAGGTGACTGAGGCAGGAGAATCGCTTGAACCCGGGAGGTGGAGGTTGCAGTGAGCCAAGATCGTGCCACTGCACTCCAGCCTGGGTGACAAAGCAAGACTCTGTCATAAATAAATAAATAAATAAATAAATAAATAAATAAATAGCAATGCAGGCACTCAGCTGTAGTTCACTGACTCTGGAGCACGAGCCGTGGTGTAGGGTTAACACTGCCTGGCAGTAGACTTCAGGTATGTGTTGGGTAGGGAAGCCCACGGCTCCTTCCCAAAGAAGTGGTGCAGTCTGGCGTCCTACAAAGGGCACCATTCCCCTATTTGGTGTCGCCCCAGCAGTGATGGGGAAGCTGCATGCTACAGAACCTTGTGCCCTTGCCAGGACACTGATGTTTATCCATTTAATCCCAGGAGGGCCCCTAGAGCCATATGCCCTTCTACAGTGATTCAGAGGCCCTCAACCCTGTGTTTGCTGGGTGCTGATCTCAGCCTTACCTTCAAAGAACTAAACATCACCAATAGACATTGTAAAGGATCGTCTGGCACTGGAAGAGAGCAGAAAAGAAAGTTGAGGGAAAAAAAAAAAGAGGTCCATGGGCTGATAAGGAGGACCTCTTTCTAAAACAGATGTGGCTTCTGGAATGAGGAAATCTCAGCTCCTTGCTGACGTTTCAATGTCTGACCACATCTGGGTCAATCTCTCTGGATTTCTCTAATTTAGGAGCTTTCATCTGAGGTCTAGAACAGAGGGATTTAACAACCAGAGTCTCATTTTTATTTTGCTGTTAACAAGACTTAGCATCTTCTTATTGATCTTAGTAACTTGCTCTTTTGTGATTTTATTTCCTGTTTTTCTTATCAGTTTTTAAGAGTTTTTTAATATATCAAAGATATTAACCCTTTATCTGTCTCATGCATTGCTAATGTTTCCCCAACCTATTCTTTGTCTATAGACACTTTATTTTCCCATGCTCTTTTTAACAAAGGAAATTATGCCTGTCTAGTCTTTTTAGCATCTGGGATTTCTATTAGTTTATAATTCTTCAGCTGTTGATATAGTATCATAAATTTGATCAAAAAAGATTCTTTTTACATTAACATTTTTTATCCATCTGGAATTTATTTTGGGGCTTAGTATGAGGTAGGGTACAGAATCAACTTTATTTCCTTCCAGACGGATAATTGATTGTAACCACACCATTTATTACGTAAACTATGCTTTCCCTCTGAATTTAAATACCAGTTTGTCATTTATTAAATTGCGTATGTATATTGAGATCTGATTCTGGGCTTTCTATTCTGTTTGACTCACCGCTTTATCTAATCCTATACTAATGTCATTTTATTTTAGTTACAGTCATTTTATAACATATTTTAATACCCAATGAGGTAAGTCCCTCCTCAGTAATCTTTTGTAATTTTATTGTCTTGTCTCAAGCACTTCTTTTTTCATATTAAATATAGGCTCAATAATATAATTCAAAAATTTTAACTCTGAATTCTAGGTAAAATTTTATTAGATTATACATTAAATTTGGGGAAATTGACAAGGAAGATATAATAATCACAAGTCTGTATTCACTAAACAAGTAAATGGAATATAGCCTTTAAAATATGTTTAGGGGCCAGGCACAGTAGCTCATTCCTATAATCCTAGTGCTTTGGGAGGCCAAGATTGGAAGATCACTTGAGGCCAGGAATTTGAGACCAGCCTAGGCAACATAGTGAGACCCCACGTATACAAAAAAAAAAAAAAAAAAGAATTTAGGATAACTTCAAAAGACTACAAATTAACAGGTTATTTTAATTTTTTTATGTATTTGTTTTTTATTTTCAAAATTAATTCCAGTAAACAGAAAAATAAGTACATAAAGGAATTGGCAATTATATCACTAAACTCAATATAATACAAAGTTATAGAATGTTTATCCCATAAATAGAAAGTATTCCTTTCTTGGTGGGGTTCATGTAACATTTCCAAAAATTAAAAATGTAATTGGCTACGGAGAAAGCTATAATGAATTCAACAATATCAATTTACAGGTCACATTCTCTGATAACAATGGAATAGAATTAGTAACAAATAGCAAGAAAGTCACCAAAAATGATTTTACTACTTGCAAATCAAGAAATGCTCTCTTGATTCCTGTATCAAAAAGAAAATTTAATTGCAACCTCTCTAGGATGCAATAAAAAAATACTCCATACAAGAAAACCTATGGGCTCCATCTAAAACCTCTAAGGGAAAACCTTTTAAACTCACTTTATTATAAAAGGTGGGCTGGAAGTAAAGGAAGTTAATATTTGTCATAAGAAATTATTCAAGCTAAACACAAAGAAAATGAAGGAAAAGGAACTGATAAAGATAAAAGCTGAAATTAGTCACCAGGAGGAACACAAAAAGATTATATAAAGATAAATAAAAGAAATAGAAGAAATAGATAAACCCAGCGGGGCGTGGTAGCTCACGCCTGTAATCCCAGCACTTTGGGAGTCCGAGGTGGGCGGATCACGAGGTCAGGAGACGGAGACCATTCTGGCTAACATGGTGCAACCCCGTCTCTACTAAAAAATACAAAAAATTAGCCGGGCATGGTGGCGGGCACCTGTAGTCCCAGATACTCGGGAGGCTGAGGCAGGAGAATGGCTTGAACCCGGGAGGCGGAGCTTGCAGTGAGCCAAGATCGCGCCACTGCACTCCAGCCTGGACAACAGAGAGAGACTCTGTCTCAAAAAAATAAAAAGAAGAAGTAAAACCTAGGCAAATTATCCAAGTGATAAGGCAGAAAATAAGTTCCATGAAAGATGTGCAATTTTAAGGGCCATAGAGGCTGGAAAGAGACAGTAAAACCATCTGGCCGATCATGAGGTCAGGAAATAGAGACGATCCTGGCTAACATGGTGAAACCCCATCTCCACTAAAAATACAAAAAATTAGCCGGGCGTGGTGGCGGGCGCCTGTCGTCCCAGCTACTCGGGAGGCTGAGGCAGGAGAATGGCGTGAACCTGGGAGGCGGAGCTTGCAGTGAGCCGAGATGGCGCCACTGCACTCCAGCCTGGGCGACAGAGCAAGACTCTGTCAAAAAAAAAAGATTAATAAATGTAAATATTGGTTCGCTGTAAAGACCAATAAGATAAGTCTGTTGTGAGAGTGATTAATGGGAAAAAAGAGTAAATATACATATAATTTGGAATGAACAGACAAGACCAAAGTAGAAGAAAATATTTGATGACACATACTTGAAAAACTAAAATAGATGAACCCCTAGCAAAATATAAATTAATAAAATATCTTCATTAAGAAGTAGAAAAATTGAGTAAACTAGTGTAAAGGAAAAGTTAAAAAAGAGTAGAGCAAAAAATAGATAATTTCAAAATTATGAAGAGATAACTCTCAAATTATTTTACAGAACAAGAATAATATTGATATCAATTTTTATGTGGAGCCAAAAAAACCCAATGTTACTCATTTATATCGACACAAAAATCCTAAATAAAATATCAGTAAGTAGAATCAAATAGTATCTCAAAAATAATACATTTGACCAAATAAAATCCATTCCAGGAATGTAGGGATAGAGCAATTATTTTTAACAGTATTAACATAAAACATTGACAAATTAAAGGGGAAAATTATTTGATCACTAAATAGATACTTAAAATACAATTCATTCCTAATAGAAAATTCTAAGTAAAGTAGGAATAGAAGGAAGCCCCTAAAATATACTAAATGCTCTGTACCTAAAGCTGAAATGAAAATAAAGTCATTCTGAATAATGATACCATAAATTTCCCTGAAAAATAAGGAACAAGTCAGGGATGCTTATTGTCACCATTATTGCTTATTGGGGTTCTAGAAAATGCAATAGGACAAGAAAATGAAATAGATGGAATAAATCGTAGGAAAGAAAAAATAAATTAGAGGAAAGGAGAGAAATTATTGTTTTATTATGCAACTTTATACCTAGAAAATTTATGAGACATTACTGAAAAATTACTAGAATTAATAAGAAAGTTTATTAAAGGCAATTGAACATAAAGTAAATACACAAAATTTGGTAACTTTTCTCAATACTGGTAAGAGTCAACTAAAAGTAGAAGTGCAGGAGGAGAAAATTCATTTCACAGTAGCAATAAAAATCATGACATATTTAGGAACACATTTAACCAAAGACATGTATTTTAAAAGCTGTAAAAATGTACTAGGGACATAAAACCATATGTGAATAAATGAACAGACATGCCATACTATTAACTGAGGAAGTTTAATGTCATAAAAATCAATTTTGCCCAAATTAATATATAAATTTCAGGTAATGGCAATTAGAATCAGATGAGCCTCTTTGCAAAGCCTGGGTTTGGCAAGATTTGCCAAGACTGCAATTACAAAGCATGAAAATGCTACCTTAAAAAGTTTAATGTAGTTTCATCATGTCATAGTTACTTGCTGAAATGACTCACTTTGTCACTTGAAAAGCTAGTGCTATGAGGCGTTGTTCTTATTCTTGTTGATGTTATGAAAAGTTAGACTAAAGCACAGGGAAAATGCACCTTGGGCACTGCCAGGTTTTTGCAAAGCGAGATATAAAACCAGGTCTGCATCTGGGTCAGCATGGTGAAACCGCATCACTACTAAAAATACAAAAAAATTAGCTGGGCATGGTGGCACGTGCCTGTAGTCCCAGCTACTCAGGAGGCTGAGGCAGGAGAATCACTTGAACCCAGGAGGCAGAGGTTGCAGTGAGCTGAAATCACACCACTATACTCCAGCCTGGCAACAGAGCAAGACTCCATCTAAAAAAAAATAAAGTAAAATAAAAAAATAAATGAAACCAGGTCTGATCTGCCTTTGCACGTTCTACGTACGCCTCCTTCTGTGTGTTGTAGCTAAAAGAGGAAAGCTATGTTTAAGTAAAAGAGGATTAATGATGAAATGGAAAATAAGGTATCAGCGGTTCCTTTTAGGATTGTTCTCTTCCATCATGCGGGAGCTTGCCAACATCACCCATGATGGGCCCAAGTGGATTTTACTGGATGGCGACATAGATCCAATGTGGATTGAGTCCCTGAATACTGTCATGGATGATAACAAGGTATGAAATTGGGGGAGATCCCTAGATCATTTCTAATCATCTGTGAAACCAGTCACCCAGTGTGGCAGGCGTATTTGCAAATCTAGATTCCACATGATGGCTGGCTCAGAATAAGGAACTCCCAGCACCCTGGGAGGCCAACGTGGGCAGATCACCTGAGGTCAGGAGTTCAAGACCAACCTGGCCAACATGGTGAAACCCCATCTCTACAAAAAATACAAAAAAATAGGGCATTGTGGTAGACGCCTGTAATCCCAGCTACTCAGGAGGCTGAGGCAGAATTGCTTGAACCCGGTAGGCAGAGATTGCAGTGAGCCAAGATCACACCATTGCACTCCAGCCTGGGCAACAAGAGTGAAACTCCATCTCAAAAAACTAACTGGTGACTGTTAAGCTGGTGGCTGTTCCTAAACTTGTTCAGAGAGCATGTCCAGATTACAAGTTTTAAAATGCCTTCAACATTTACAGGATTGTTAGAATAAAAGTATGCTCTCCTGGAGAGACTACTTGATTTTTTTTTAACTTTTAGGTTTGAGGATACATGTGCAGGTTTGTTACATAGGCAAACTCATGTCACAGGGGTTTGTTGTACACCTTGTTTCATCACCCAGGTACTAAGTTCAGTACCCAATAGTTACATTTTCTGCACCTCTCCCTCCCTCTACCTTGTGCCCTCAAGGGGGCTCCAGTGTCCTGTCTGTTGTTCCCTTCTTTGTGTTCATGAGTTCTCATCATTTAGCTCCCACTTATAAATGAGAACATGTAGCATTTAGTCTTCTGTTTCTGCATTAGTTTGCTAAGGTAATGGCCTCCTGCTCCATCCATGTTCCCACAAAAAAGAACATGATCTCATTCTTTTTATGGCTGCATAATATTCCATAGTGTGTATGTACCACATTTTCTTTATCTAATCTGTCATTGATGGGCATTTAGGTTGGTTCAATGTCTTTGCCATTGTGAAGAGTGTGGCAATAAACATTTGCGTGCATGTGTCTTTATAGTAGAATGATTTCTATTCCTCTGGATATATGTCCAGTAATGAAATAGCTGGGTCGAACAGTAGTTCTGTTTTTAGCTCTTGAGGAGTCACCAAACCGGTTTCCACAATGGTTAAACTAATTTACACTCCCACCAACAGTGTATAAGTGTTCCCTTTTCTCCACAACCTCACCAGCATCTGTTCTTTTTTGATATTTTAGTAATAGCAATTCTGACTGGTGTGAGATGGAATCTCATTGTGGTTTTGATTTGCATTTCTCTCATAATCAGTGATGTTGAGATTTTTTTCATATGCTTTTTGGCCACATGTATGTCTTCTTTAGAGAAGTTTCTGTTCATGTTCTTTGTCCACTTTTTCATAGTGTTGTTTGTTTGTTTGTCATAAGTTTGCTTAAGTTCCTTATAGATGCTGGATATTAGACCTTTGTCAGATGCATGGTTTGCAAATATTTTTTCCCATTCTTTAGGTTGTCTGTTCACTCTGTTGATCATTTCCTTTGCTGTGCAGAAGCTCTTTAGTTTAATTAGATCCCATTTGTCAATTTTGCATTTGTTGCAATGACTTTTGGCATCTTTGTCATTAAATCTTCGCTCCTTCTTATGGCCAAGATGGTATTGCCTAGGTTGTCTTCCAGGGCTTTTATAGTTTTGGATTTACATTTAAGTTTTTAATCCTCTTGAGTTAATCTTTATATATCATGTAAAGAAGGGGGCCAGTTTCAGTCTTCTGCATATGGCTAGCCAGTTATCCCAGCACCGTCTATTAAATAGGCATTCCTTCCCCCATTGCTTGTTTTTGTCAGCTTTGTTGACGATTAGATGGTCACAGGTGTGCGGCCTTATTTCTGGGCTTTCTATTCTATTCCATTGATCTATGTGTCTGTTTTTGTACCAGTACCACACTGTTTTGGTTACTGTCGCCCTGTAGTGTAGTTTGAAGTCAGGTAACATGATGCCTCCAGCTTTGCAGTTTTTTGGTTTGTTTTTTTTTTGTTTTGTTTTGTTTTTGTTTTTTGTTTTGCTTATAATTGCCTTAGTTATTCTGGCTCTTTTTTGGTTCCATATGAATTTTAAAATAGATTTTCTAGTTCTATGAAGAATGTCATTGGTAGTTTAGTAGGAATAGCATTGAATCTATAAATTGCTTTGGGCAGTATGGTCATTTTAATGATTTTGATTCTTCCTATCCATGAACATGGGATATTTTTCCATTTGTTTGTGTAATCTCTGATTTTTTTAAGCAGAGTTTTGTAATTCTTTTTGTAGGGATCATTCATGAAGTACTATTATAAAAGGAACAGTATTAATATGAAATGTAAGTTATTTTCTTTTAAGAGTTCCATTGTTCCAGTATGATCTAGTTCATTCAAATCATTGACATCACTTTAAACTGTTTAAATAACTTTTTTTTGTGATTCAACACACATACACACATATACACACAGGGGTGGTGGTGGAGAGTGTATAGGAAGAAAGAGAGGATTTTTGTAGAAAATTTAGAAAATACTAATTATCACAAAGAAGGAATGTATTTGTTCATTTTCACACTACTGATAAAGACATACCGGAAACTGGGTAATTTATAAAGAAAAGGAGGTTTAATGAACTCACAGTTCCACATAAAAGAGGAGGCCTCACAATCATGGCAGAAGGCAAAAGGCACATCTTACATGGCAGCAGACAAGAGAGAATGAGAGCCAAGTGAAAGGGGTTTCCCCTTATAAAACCACCAGATCGACTGGGTGACTCATGCCTGTGAGCACTCTGGGGAGCCGAGGTGGGCAGATCACGAGGTCAGGAGATTGAGACCATCCTGGCTAACACAGTGAAATCCCATCTCTACTAAAAATACAAAAAATTAGCCTGGCATGGTGGTGGGCACCTGTAGTTTCAGCTACTCAGGAGGCTGAGGCAGGAGAATGGCGTGAACCGAGGAGGCAGAGCTTGCAGTGAGCCGAGATCATGCCACTGCACTCCAGCCTGGGTGACAGAGTGAGACTCCGTCAAAAAAAAAAAAAAAAAAAAAATCAGATTTTGTGAGACTCACTCACAACCATGAGAACAGTATAGGGGAAACCACTCCCATGATTCAATTATCTTCCACTGGGTCCCTCCCACAACACATGGGAATTATGGGAGCTACAATTCAAGATGAGATTTGGGTGGGGACATGGTCAAACCATATCAAGGAAATAATTATCCATAATCCCAACCAAACCAATAACAATCAGCCAAATCCCCACAGGCTGGCAAGGCACTTACCTCCTACCTCACTGGCATGCCCTTCCCTGTTGTTTCCAGGTGCTGACATTGGCCAGCAATGAGAGGATTCCTCTGAACCCCACCATGAAGCTCCTCTTTGAGATCAGCCACCTGCGCACAGCCACTCCAGCAACTGTCTCTAGAGCAGGTACGGCCCAAGAAGGGAAGAACCACAAAGCTACTCCACTTAGGCATGTGCCTCTCGCTTCACACGTAGTTCTGCTGACTCAGAAGGAATCTCCACATGGGAGCCAGAAGCCTGACGTGCAGTTTTGTGAATTTGGAAATGTTGTGGTAATAAGAAGGGAAAGAGCTTCTGAGCTGCACAATTATCCTCTGCACAGAAGTGTCCAACTTAGGCTACTTTTAGGCCAGTTCTAGCCTCCCCGTCAATGGAGATGACCAAATATCACTGTTTCTCACTAACTCCTGGTGCAGAATTGCAGCTCTATACCTTAACTTTCCTCTGTCTCCACTGAACAAATTTATTAACAGAGACTGGAAGAGTTTTTTAAAAATTGTTTGGCAAAATCAAACTTAAAGAAGCAGGAGTAGAATGTCAGTTGCCAAAGGTGAGGGTTGAGGGGACAGGGCAGATGTTGGTCAATGGGTACAAAATTCCAGTTCTGCAGGATGAGTAAGTCCTAGAGATATGCTGTATAACACAGTGCCTATAGTTAACAATATTGTAGTGTGCACTTAAAAAAATTGTTGGGCCAGGCTTGGTGGCTCACACCTATCATCCCAGCAATTTATGAGGCTGGGGTGGGCAGAGAGCTTGAGCCTGGGGGATTGAGACCAGCCTAGGCAACACACCAAAGCCCAATTACTACAAAAAAAAAAAAAATACAAAAAAGTGTTAAAGAGGCTAGATCTCATGTTAAGTGTTCCTAACACACACACACGCACACTTTTGGAAGTGATGGATGTTTATTACCTTGATTGCGATAATAGTTTCACTGGTGTATGCATATGTCCAATTTCAAATAGTATACCTTAAATATGTACAGCTTTTTATATATCAATTATACTCCAATAAAGCTGTTAAAAAATAATATTAATGATAAAATAAAAGGAAATAAATAGTAAAATAAAATAATTTAAAAAGAGATCTTGTTTGGCCTCTACCGTAATATTACGTTCCCTTTCAAGAACCTCTGCTAAAATTGGTGGACACAGGCCAGGAGAGTTGTCTCTCCTGTCCTTGGGATACTCTAACAAGAGTAACGAATTTCCACAAACTTGGGGCTTTTAAATCAACAGAAATGTATTTTCTCACATTTCTGGAAGTTGGACATCCAAAATCAAGGTCAGCAGGGCTGTGCTTCCTCTAAAGGCTTTAGGGGAGAATCTTTTCTTGCATCTCCCAGCTTGGATGTTCCTTGGCTTGTGGCCCCATAATGCCAGTCTCTGGCTTCTTCCCATGGCCTTCTCTTCTGTGTGTGTCTCTCCCCTCTGTCTCTTATTAGGACACTTAGAAATGTTCCACCCAGATAACTCAGGATAGTCTCATCTCAACATCTTTAACTTAATTATATCTGCAAAGACTCTTTTTCTTTTTTCTTTTCTTTTTTTTAAGACAGAGTCTTACTCTGTTGCCCAGGCTGGAGTGCAGTGGCACGATCTCGGCTCACTGCAAGCTCTGCCTCCCGGGTTCAAGCCGTTCTTCTGCCTCAGCCTCCCAAGTAGCTGGGATGACAGACGTGTGCCACCATGCGCAGTTAATTTTTTGTATTTTTAGTAGAGACAGGGTTTCACCATATTGGCCAGACTGGTCTTGAAGTCCTGACTTCAGGTGATCCACCTGCCTCAGCCTCCCAAAGTGCTGGGATTATAGGCGTGAGCCACTGTGCCCAGCCTGCAAAGACCCTTTCTCTAAATAAGATCACACTGGCAGGTTCCAGGGGTCAGGACATGGCCTTGACTTTCGGGGGACCACCATTCAACCCACTACATACCCCCCACATTCCCATGACAAGTATCGCTGATCTGTCACAGCCTTCTTTCCTCCTGAGCCTGGACTTGGCCTTGGGATTCTCAAAGCTGCTCCCCATCCATCTATCACCAGTCCGTTGGAGTTGGTCCTCAATAGCAGACCCGTTTACCCTCTCACATCTCAGCCAAATCTCCTTTTCTTTTCAGTTCAGTCTTCTGTACATTTTCCAAACAGAGAAAATAACTCCCTGGGGTGAAAAATATACTGATGTATACGGAATATTCACTTAACTATATTCTCTGTGCTCACAGGGATCTTGTACATCAACCCGGCAGACTTGGGATGGAACCCTCCGGTGAGCAGCTGGATTGACAAGAGGGAAATCCAGACAGAGAGAGCCAACCTAACCATTCTGTTTGACAAGTACATTCCAACCTGCTTAGACACACTCAGAACCAGGTAGGCCAAGAAATAAGGAAGATAGAGAGTCAAAGCAGCAATTAAAAGCCCATCGGTTCATACTTGGTGTCCTGCTGATGTTCTGTCCTGCCCCAAAGTCAGATGTTCCCAGAGCAATGCCTCCAGGCATGGCAGAAGGCAGAGGGAACACACATTAGGATGGCTATGGGATGCCTGTTGTCAGCTCAGGCATGAAGTGAGGTGAGTGAAGAGAAGGAAGATTGAAAGTTCCTTTCGTGAGTGCCACGTGGGTATATCTGAGGGAGGCTGTGGGTTGTAGTATCAGATTATAATCCAGAGACTCAGATCCTTCTGTGTACAGGGCAAGCAGCTCTGCATTTGTAATAAATAATCCACAGGCCAGATCAACAGACCTAGGGGTGAAAATGGCACATGTTGGTGACCTGTGGGGCCCACTCCCTGTGCCTGGCTGTGTGCGTTCACAGCCCAGATAATGTGGAATTGGGTATAATGTACCATCTGACGGTCCTGCCCTGTTGGATATTGTGAGTTTACCTTTCCTCTTTTAGGTTTGTAAAAGTAAGAGCAACAAGCCCTGATCACTTATCACTTATCACTAAGCAAGAACTTAATCACTCTTGACCAAGAGGATACTTATTATAGCGAGAATACTATCTGTGTCAGAACAGGGAGCTGCCCGTGGTTGGAACCTGCTTTTGTTTTACGCTATTTTTTGTTGTTGTCGTTGTTACCATTTGACACATCATTCTGTGAAGCTGACACCCATCCCCATAGCGGAGGCAAGAATAGGCCCCTGAGGCTGGCGCTGTGAAGGCAGTGACTCAGAGCCCCATGAAGACACCACAGTTTAGGGTTAGGGTTATGTTTCCCGGAAACTAAAGTCTATCATTGCAGTTGATCCCTGCCTCTTTCTTCCTTGGCTTGTCAAGCATGGGATATGATTGTGCCTCCAATGATTTGCAAGCACGGAGGCCAAGGGGAAGGGAGCACTTCAGACTGCAGGAAACGATACTGCAAGAGGGTGCCAGGCGCTCCCATTCCATATGCCCTGCCCATACCCCAAAAAATCCACTGCCATTCAAAGTGAATTTTGTATACTTAAAAATTGAGTTGCAGTCATGTAGGCGACATTGTGGTCTATCTTCATTGTTTAATGAAACATTACTTTTGATTTCATAGTTTTTCTATTTCGGGGTCAATAATTATTCTTCCAACTCAACATATGTATAAGCCTTTGAAAAGCTTTTAGTCCCTGGGTGGCCCATGGGCTCTGTGGCCTTGGGATGTATTGGGCTAAAGCAGCCCGTGGAGCTAACAGAGTCTGGAAGTGGAAAACAGTAGTTAATATCACAGATGGACTCGGGCAGCCAAGAGTTAGAAAACCAGAGAAGGGTAAGATTTTAGGAAAATAGTCTATCCCTGGTTTTTTTGTTTGTTTGTTTTTTGGTTTTTGAGTTTTAAAATGCTTTTTAAAGTTTTATTTGTATAGATTTAGGGATAGAAGTGCAGTTGTGTTACAGGGATACACGGCGTAGTGGTGAAATCTGGCCCTTTAGTGCACCCACCACCTGAATAGCATACCTTGTATCCAATGGGGGTATTTTATCCTCACCCCCCTGCCACCCTCCCACCTTTTGCAGTCTCTGGTGTTTATTATTTCACTCTGTATTTCCATATATACCTACTGTTTAGATCCCACTTACAAGTGAGAACATGCAGTTTTTGACTATCCGTTTCGCAGTCATTTCGCTAAGGACAATGGACTCCAGTTCCATGCATGTTGCTGCAAAAGACATGATTTCATTCTTTTTTATGACTAAGTAGTATTCCATGTGGTATACGTAGATATATATACACACCCCTTTTTTTTTTTTTTTTTAGTCATTGTCTTGCTCTGTCACCCAGGCTGGAGTGCAGTGGTGCGATCTTGGCTCACTGCAGCCTCCACCTCCTGGGTTCAAGCGATTCTCCTGCCTCAGCCTTCTGAGTAGCTGGGATTACAAGTGAGCATTACCATATCCAGCTAATTTTTGTATTTTTTTTTTTTTTTTTTTTTTGTCAGAGTCTCGCTCTGTAGCCCAGGCTGGAGTGCAGTGGCGCAACCTCAACTCACTGCAACCTCCGCCTCCTGGGTTCAAGCGATTCTCCTGCCTCACCTTGCCAAGTAGCTGGGACTATAGGCATGTGCCACCACGCCCAGCTAATTTTTTGTATTTTTAGTAGAGACGGGGTTTCACCATATTGGCCAGGATGGTCTCGGTCTCTTGACCTCGTGATCCGCCCGCCTTGGCCTCCCAAAGTGCTGGGATTACAGGTGTGAGCCACTGCACCCGGCCTAATTTTTGTATTTTTAGTAGAGATGGGGTTTAGCCATGTTGGCCAGGCTGGTCTCAAACCCCTGACCTCAGGTGATCCGCCTGCCTTAGCATCCCAAAGTCCTGAGATTATAGGTGTAAACCACTGCATCCTGCCTACACCACCTTTTAAATTCAATTGTCTGTTGATGGAAACTCAAGTTGATTCCATGACTTCGCTATTGTGAATAGTGCTGCAATAAACAAGAGTGCAAGTATCTTTTTGATAAAATAATTTCTTTTCCTTTGCATTCCCATTCTTTAGGATTTTCCTGAGACGCTTGTCCCATATACCTTTAACTAAAAGTCTGCTATTTCTCACTGTGGACATTTAGAACAAGAGATGGCAAAAGAGATGGCAAACTCATGTGTCTGTGTGTGTGCATGTGTGCCGGTGCATGCACAAGCCTTTATAACAGCTTTGAATATTCTGAGTGTATCAAGTCTATCCAGAGGCAACTCTCCCCTGAACTCTCTGCCCATTCTAGGTGTAATGTCTTTTCTTTTCTTTTTTGAGACAGAATCTCACTCTGTCACCCAGGCTGGAGTGCAGTGGTGCAATCTTGGCTCACTGCAACCTCTGCCTCCCGGGTTCAAGAGATTCTCCTGCCTCAGCCTCCGAGTAGCTGGGACTATAGGCGCCCACCACCACACCCAGCTAATTTTTGTATTTTTAGTAGAGACAGAGTTTCACCATGTTGGCCAGGATGGTCTCAATCTCTTGACCTCGTGATCTGCCCTCCTGGGCCTCCCAAAGTGCTGGGATTACAGGCATAAGCCACCATGCCCGGCCGATGTCTTTTCATTCTCACAGCCATCCTGCCGATGAGGGAGCTGTGGCTCCGCAATGCTCCCCTGGCATCATAGCCAGTTAGTAACAGACACTTGCTTTAAAGCCTTCCTTCTATTTTATGCAGTCACAGTGTTGTAATGCTCGCTTCATGTGGCCCTGTCACTACAAAGCCGTGTCATGTCAACAGATAATAACTTCTTATTAAATAAGCAGGCCCATAAGGGGCAATTATAAAACAGCTTTATTTTATTTCCTACTGTTCCTTTAAAACCATTATATGTGACTAGTTCTTCTCCTGCCCCTGCGTGAGATCTAGGTCAAGGTCTATGACTTTTCTGTATGACTTTTCAGATAAAAAGGCATCTGATCACTTCTAGTCACGCAGTCATACATACACGTGTGTGTTAGTCCAGTGAAAATATAAAGAAACAAACTCCATTCATAATATAGGCTTCTGCCCCACCCACCTCAGCTCAGGACTGCAATGGGAAAGGGGCGTGTTTTTGACTTCTCTCCTTTCTCTGCCAGTGACCTACTCCCTGGCTATAACTTCTGACCCCTCGGCATAAAAGAGGGGTGGAGAGAAGAGGGGAAGGGGCAGGAGAAGTCTTACCTGACCGCAACTGGTGCAACCTTAGTTGGTTGCCCCAACTGTGACAGATCTTGAAATCCGACTTCTTCTCTTTGGTAATTTTTGGGAGCTCCTTGGCTCCTCCCCATCACTGGAAATCTTTCATCTGTTATTCTGGAAGAAAGTAGCTGCTTCTCCAGCCAGTCAGGTCCCGCTCCTACACAAACCCCATCTGTCTCACCTGATCCCTCAGCCAGCACTCAGACAACCCCTGCTGCACACAGTCCACACCTGGATTCCAGGAGATGCTTACCCCTTCTCTGCTTTGACGAACTGGAGCACAGGCTACACCCGCCAGGGACCTCCCCACTCTCCACTGGGAGATCAGCAACTCTCGGGGGTTTTCCAGGCAAGGGTCCTTCACCAACTCGGAGTAATCCTATTGAACCCCTTTCCCTGGCTGTTAGGGGAAAGCAGCTACCTTCGCTGTGCAGGAGGGAACACTTGTTGCCTACCCAGAGCTCTCTCTAGTATTCTGAATGCTAGTTTCCAGGCCTTCCAGCATCTCCCGCTTTGTCCTCTGTGCTCTTGAGAGGGTGAGAAGCCAGGGTTGCAAAACCCTCTGCGAGTTGTCTGGAATCTGTGTTTGGAATAGAAGGGCAATTGGCACCTATCCTCTTTGTTATCCTCTCAGGCTTATCCAGCACTGAGCCTGAGAGAGTTGTGTTGTATCCGTCTGTTACAAATACACATCAAACAAATGAGGGAACACCCATCGAGGAGTCACTCTTCTCATCACTCATGGAAGTAATACCTAGACTATCAGACTCTAAAAACATCATAGCATTTGTTGTAAGAATTGCAACTAGATTCAAAACCAGCACAAATGCTAAAAAGTGAATGGTGTGCCGTGCAACTCTGAGGTTCAGTGCTGGGAAATGACTGTTAAGGGGTCCATTGACAGTGCCGTATATGTTATGAAAACGGACTCTGCCTCCAGGCTGCCTGTGAACACGTCATCCTGTGGGAGGTGGCGATGTGGGCTGAGTGTGGGGGTACGCTGTGTACTCTGCAGATACATGTGGTATGATGAGGGTACCCATGGAAAGGAAAGTATGTGTGCGTGAGCTTGTGTATGCTCCTGCTGCACAGGGCATAGGATGTCTTTTGCGCATCTCTTGATATCTGCCTTTCAATTGAGGCCTCTAAAGCCAAGATTAAAAGTGCAAACACCAGGCCAGGGCAGGGTTACAGAGGTGTACTTTCAGTTGAAGAACTCCATTCAGTTCATCATGATTGTATAAAATAACCATCTGTCCTGGTCCACTCTACTTCCCAGATAAGATCCCGGCCCCAGAAAAAGTCTTTTTGGTGTTTTCAATGGAAGGAAAGTTCTGAGGTGAAGAGGTAAAAGGGCAAGCCTCAGAATTGCACCCAAAGTGCATCTTTAGGTGCTTTTTTTTTTTTTTTTTTTTTTTTTTTTTGACGGAGTCTCACTCTGTCACCCAGGCTGGAATGCAGTGGTATGATCTTGGCTCATTGTAAGCTCTGCCTCCCAGGTTCATGCCATTCTCCTGCCTCAGCCTCCTGAGTAGCTGGGACTACAGGCACCCACCACCACGCCCGGCTAATTTTTTGTATTTTTAGTAGAGACGGGGTTTCACCGTGTTAGCCGGGATGGTCTCAATCTCCTGACCTCATGATCCTCTGGCCTCGGCCTCCCAAAGTGCTGGGATTACAGTTTAGGTGCTTTTTGACAGTTGCAGAAATTGTGAAACGAGCGAAAAAGTGGTTTTTCCTTGTTGCAAACACCTGGGTTTCCCAGGGACTGAGAGGGGATCATCAACAGAAAGAGAAGCATGCAGGGAGAGGGTGTCAAAGGAAAGGAGATGAGAAAGTCCTCAGGAGAGCTCTGGACCCTTACTTCCTTACAAAGGAAGCTGGCACGAGAACAGCTGATGAGAATATAGGATTAAGTGGCGCTCTGGTCGTCTGTAATCCCAAAGAACTTGACAGGCCATGAGTCCGCTGAAACTGAGTGGTTCCATAGCTGTCCAACAGCACCACCAGAATGGAATATCCACTGTGTTTCAGATCCCCTTGGGTCTCTCTTTGCAGGTTTAAGAAAATCATTCCCATCCCAGAGCAGAGCATGGTTCAGATGGTGTGTCACCTTCTGGAATGTCTCCTGACCACGGAGGACATCCCTGCAGACTGCCCTAAGGAAATTTATGAGCATTATTTTGTGTTTGCTGCCATCTGGGCTTTCGGCGGAGCAATGGTCCAGGATCAGGTAAGGAGATATATTCAGTTCAACATCCACGTTGAAGTCTGTAGCAGCAAAACAATGATCCTTTAGGAAAGATTTGGAAGATAGGACAGCTAAATGTCAGAATGGACTTGAAAGCAGCAAACTATTTAGTCACCTACCTATTACTCTGCTAAAGACATCAGTCCCCCTAGCAAGCCCTCATAGGGTGAGATACATGAGGTCGTGGTGTGTTCAGAGCTTTTCCTTTTTGAGCTACTGAACATACCTTTGATTTCTTGGGAACTTATACAGTGTTTGAGTTTGAGCAACTGCTGGTATATATGCACTACTTTGCCACGTGGTGTGTTTGTGGAGAAAGTGGTGGAAGGAGGCTGTGCTCTGGAAGCTTGAGTGGAAGGAAACCCTTCAGTTTTCTTAAAAACCTCTAGAACAAGGATGTACCACTCCCTACCAGGCCAGAGTTAACCATCATATCTCCATACCCACGAAACTCAAAGCTGTCCAGAGAAGGTTGGACCAAAGTCTAATTAGCATCTAGGATTGGAAAACCAAAGTGGAATTTATCTCATACTGTTGACTGCTATAGTCTCATGTTGATTGGAAGAAGGGATATGTGGTTTGGAATATCTTTGCATCCTATCCCCTCACCCTTCTGGTATTTCTAGCCTTTTTCTTTACTTATTTTTCTCCAAATAAAAGATATTTTATCTAGAAAGAAAAACATTCAATATTATGCAAACCAGTCTTTTATAAACTGATGCTAGCTGTTATGCAATATTGCATGGCAATTAAGAACATGGACTGTGTTAGCAAATTTTAAGTATACAATAGAGTATTGTTACTATAGGAACTTTCTGGTACAGAAGATTTATTCATCTTGGACTTAATCATTTTTATAACCAAAACTTTGTACCCTTTGACCTATACCTTCCATTGCTCCCTCCCCCAGCCACTGGCAACCTCAATTCCTCTCTTCACTTCTGTGAATTGACTATTTTAGCTGCATCTTGTAAGTGGAATCATGTCCGATTTGTTCTTCCATGCCTGGCTTATTTCACCTAGCATGACAATCTCCAGGTTCATCACGTTGTTGCAAATGGAAAGATTTCCTTTTTCTTAAAAAAAAAAGAAAAAAGAAAGATTTCTAAGAGGGAAGATAAATCTTACATCAAATGTTCTTAGCACAAAACAACAATAACAATAATAGTAACAATGATAAGAGCATGGAAGGGAACTTTGAAGGTGATATGGAGGTTTATGCATAGACTGTGGTGATGGTTTCACAAGTATATTCTAAACTCATCACATCGTATGGGTTAAATATGTACAGGTTTTGTATATCAGTCATACTACCATAAAGTGATTTTTTAAAATCAATGAGAAAAGCAAATAATAAAAATAAAAAAGAACATGAACTATGGATTTGAACTGTAACTCTGCCCCTATTATCTGGGGAACCTTAGTCAAGTAACTTAACCTCTCTCTACCTTACTCTCGCCATGTTCACAAAGGATAATGATAGGGGTACCCAGCTCCTAGGAGGGTGGCGAGGATTAAGTTGAATGCATACTGTTCTAATCACTCAGCATGAATCTATGCAAGGTACTTAGCACAACCCATGGGTGTTTATTATTAATATTCTTCTAGTAAAAATATTCGGTTCCATAGCAAGTATCTGCTGCCTCTCTTGCAACAGGGGATCAGACCAAGCTGTAATTGTTAGAAAGTTATGATTTACCCTTTTCAGTCTGGATTGATTGTGAGCCTCTTTCAAAGAAAAGTAGAAAGTTTCAGCCTCCTCAGGCAAAATCATGTTCTAGAAATCCAAAATGAAAGTGAACTTGGACACAAAAGAATTAGCAATTAACTTCTTTTTCATTTTCAAGGGCCCTGGCTGTTAACATCCGTCCTACCACCCATCACTCCCTGATGTGTTCTTTGGTGCTCAAAATTCAGAAAGCAGCTCTCACAGGCTCTCAGGAAGTGCACCTTTCTCTACCGCCCTCCCCAGAGCCGGATGCCCTGGAGGCAGAAAGGGAAATCTCCAAGGACAGGAGGATACATGAACCAGGAGTTCGACATCTGAGAATTTTCTGCTGTCTGTTCTGTAGTCTTTGGAGCTTCTCTGTGGACTACTTCTTTGACAGCTTTATGTTTCCCCTTTGAGGCAAGGAGGCAGAGATTTCAGCAGGATGGATGAGACCTGGCTGAACTGCACAGAAATCCCAAATGCATAGGTTATTGCTCCCCATCAAATGCAGTCTCTGACCTGGGGCTGGCAAAATGTCAGACAGCGACTGCTGGGCTTCTCTCTGGTATTGATGCTGAGCAGGCAGTGGGGTAACAGGATGAAAATATGTGATCAATTTTTCTAACTCTGGGTATAAAAATTTAAATCCCCTCAAGCCTTTTAAAAGCCCCGGAGAAAGCATCCCTCCAGGCGTCCTGGGCACTGGAGCACTTGAAGTAATCGACAGCCCTGCCGGCAACCTGGGGAGAGGACAAGGGAGAAAGCTTTTAGCAGCAGGGCACATCCCAGACCCCTACACAGCCTGCATTAAAGCTAAACACCAAAAGTAGTGCTGTAAATAGGAAGGTAGGAATTTCGCCAACATATTCACATCAGGAACACCAATGGTGCTTACATTGAAAAAACTTTCATAAAAGCAGAACAGAACTACAAAAAAAAACTCTCAGAAACATGAGGTGGAGAAAACACCAGATTGTGAGACTGAGTTCAACTCCCAATTCTGTCTTTTCATAAAACCCCCACTTTATAAAATAGGAATAATTTTAAGTAACCAGGATAACCCATAGCATTGTGAAAATGAAGCGAAGTAACACTGGGTTCCCAACTCTACCACAGTATGCCAGTAAAGTCCTCATGTCCTCCAGGTTAAAGGGCAGAGAGAAAACAGTGAACTGTCAGAGCCCAAGGGAGACGGGGATTTCAGAAGGGACCATGCTGAAGAGATACCATGGAGTGGAATTAAGATAGGATCATTGGGCCGGGCGCAGGGGCTCAGGCCTGTAATCCCGGCACTTTGGGAGACCAAGGCAGGTGGATCACGAGGTCCATAGTTCAAGACCAGCCTAGACAATATGGTGAAACCCCGTCTCTACTAAAAATATAAAAAGTTAGCCAGGCCTGGGCATGGTGGTGGGCGCCTGTAGTCCCAGCTGCTCGGGAGGCTGAGGCAGAGAACTGCTTGAACCCGGGAGGCGGAGGTTGCCGTGAGCCGAGATCACGCCACTGCACTCCAGCCTAGGCGACAGAGTGAGACTCCATCTCAAAAAAAAAAAAAAAGAAAAAAGAAAAAGTAAAAGAAAGGACCACTGGACTGGCCCAGCAGAGGTCACCTTGATTTTACAGTGTCCAATTATAGTACAAGGTGCAGTCAAGTACTAGCTCACAGGAAGGTGAGACAATGTCGGTATGGCCCAGCCAAGGGCTTAGCTGAGAAATTGCCGGGCATCTCAAGGAAGCATGGGGGGTGAGGAAAGGAGAAGACCCACACTTCCTTCCTTCTAGAGGTGGCCTTCATTTCAGAGTTTCCATAGAAACCTAAAATCTAGTTTTTGTAGAAAGTTGAAGGTCTTGAAGCATATTATCTAGGAGTTAAGAATGGGGGTTTCCTCTAGGCTTCTGATTCCAGAGAACAATATTGAGAAGTTATAACGTCCCCTTGATCTAAATTCAAATCAGAATCAGAACATCAAACAAATCTTTTCTTATCTTACCACCCATTTCCACTGTCATTTTAAAGCAAAAGACTTCAATCCTGTTTACTTAACAGACAGCAAAATGAGGAATGCCCTTTTTTTGGAGTTCATAGTTGTTGCCATGTGCCCAGCTCCCTGGTCTGTTCAGCCTTTGAACTCTGTCTTTGTCCTGCCCTCCATGAGTATTTTCTCTCTCTCTCTTTTTTTTTTTTCTTTTCTTTTTTTTTTTTTTTTGAGACAGAGTCTCGCTCTGTCGCCCAGGCTGGAGTGCAGTGGCACGGTCTCAGCTCACGGCAAGCTCCGCCTCCCGGGTTCACGTGATTCTCCTGCCTCAGCCTCCCGAGTAGCTGGGACTACAGGCGCCCGCCACAACACCTGGCTAACTTTTTAGTATTTTTAGTAGAGACAGGGTTTCACCATGTTAGCCAGAATGGTTTCCATCTCCTGACCTCCTGATCCGCCCGCCTCGGCCTCCCAAAGTCCTGCGATTATAGACGTGAGTGACGCGCCCGGCCGAATGTTTTCTAAAATGTCCAATTTTTTTTTCTTTTAAGATTTTCCTTAGTTCGGTATGTTTAAAGAGTGGGTTTGCCCTCCCAGAGAGTTGCCAGTAGCAATGGGTATGTTTTGGGTCTGAGTGTGTGTGTGTGTATGTGTTTGCTTGGACACAATAAGATGGTTTGAGTACACTGGGTGTACAGCCCATGCATAAGAGGCTCATTATGTAATATGCATGCATGCAAATTATATGCCTCTACTTATTCCTTCTGTCAGAAAGACCAGTACAGCTCTGTCTCCCCTGCTGCTCCTAGATTCTAGGATTTTAGCTCTTGCAAGAACCTTGGAAATCTTTCTAGAAACCTCATTTTACAGATGAGGAGATTGAGGCATAGAAAGAAGGACTTGCCTGTGGTCACCTCCCTGACACCCATACCCTTCTGAGGCTCTTCTCACTCCAGCGCTCTGTGCCCCAGGTGTCAAGAGTCACCGTTCCACTCCAACCTCAGGCTGCCACCCTGGGAACTGCAGAGAATCTCAGGCATCAAAGAATGGGGCCAATCTATCTCTCCAGGAGTTCTTGATTCTCCCCCATGTTCTTCCACCTCCCTCCCTCAACCCTCTCCACCCTTCAATGGCTGCAAGACATGGCAGGACCAGGCTGGCTCAGCTGCGTGGTCAAGCAAGGATGCCTGTGCGTGCCCCCTGCATAGTTGGGCCTGGTCAGGGTTGACCCTCAGGGCAGCGCTGCCTTCCTGGAGAAGCTGGTCTACCCGGCAGGCCCGCACAGGGAGGAGCGCATTATCCTGCCCTGACCCTCTATCTTATGCTGTGGCCTCCTGTGTGGGCTTCTTGAGTTCTGGAGGACCTTGTCCCCTCACTGTGTTTGTTTTTACAGCTTGTGGACTACCGGGCAGAGTTCAGCAAATGGTGGCTGACTGAGTTCAAAACAGTCAAGTTTCCTGCCCAAGGAACCATCTTTGACTATTACATCGACCCAGAGACCAAGAAATTCGAGCCTTGGTCCAAGCTCATCCCCCAGTTTGAATTTGACCCCGAGATGCCCTTGCAGGTGAGTGCGGCTGAGCGGCCCAGGACGTGCGTGCAGTTACCCTCAAGGATCTGCAGTGGCTCCAGTAGCAGCCGCGCATGGGCATCTAAGCATTTGTCCTTGCTGGGAACTAGTCATCCCCAGCTCCATGACTTTGCAGAGGAGATGATAGGCGTAATGAAGTCACAGATTCTCCTAAAGGCCAGGACATTTCCTCAAGAGAGGAGGAAATGGCAGGGGCAGAAGATTTTAAAATGCATTAGAGAGGCCACAGAGAAAGAGGCCCGGGTGGTAGAGGAGAGTGGGGAAGCTCTCTGCCCAACTGCAGGGAGCCCAGAGAGCGAGTCTGTGGGATGGTCCCACTGTGAATATCAGGGAAGATACTCCTGACCTGTGTTGATTTGGGGAGCTCCACATCCGCTCTTCTGAAATGCTTTGGAACATTGGTGGTACATCTGTTTCTCCCTGGAACCCACCCTTGGCAGGTTTATTGTGCTCCTGTTCCAGGCATGTTTGGTGCACACGAGTGAGACCATCCGTGTGTGCTACTTCATGGAGCGGCTGATGGCGCGGCGGCGGCCTGTCATGCTGGTGGGCACAGCTGGCACTGGCAAGTCGGTGCTGGTGAGAGCTAAGCTGGCCAGCCTCGACCCCGAGGCATACCTGGTGAAAAACGTGCCATTCAACTACTATACCACGTCGGCAATGCTGCAGGGTAAGCAGCCCAGGGCACCTGGGGTGGGGAGGTGTGTGGGTGGCCGTGTCACCTGACACAGAGCTGAAGCCGAGCGTCAGGTGCCTGCCTGGCTGGACTTCTGCGTACCCCAGCACTGTGCACTTCCTCCCACATGCCCCTTCTCACCTCTCCCCACATGCCTCTTTCTGGCTCCTCCAGGACCCCTTAGCTCCGCTTCTGGTCTTTCTTCCTACATTCCTCCCTGGCCTGTTAAATTTCTCAAGAGCAAGGTGTTCAACACAGAGCAGTTCAGCACCTTGATGACAAAGACAGCTACAAGCCATGGAGAGATTTGCAAGAACTTGCAGGCTTCTGGCACTGAAAGTGTCTCTAGAGATCATTTAATTCCTCTCTCATATTATGGATGGGGAAACTGAGGCTCTGGTAAAAGGATGTGATTGCCCAAAGTCACCGCCAAGTGGCGAGGCAGGCGTGACACATCCAGTCTTCTGACTCCACCTGGGGCTTGCTTTTCCCCGGTGTTGACACACAGAGCCCCCAAATAGACATGGGCCACTGGTGATGTTTTCCTCTTGCCAGAGTCTCTCTCCGCTTAACTCATTTACAACACAGTCTTCTTTTTCATAGAAACAACACATTGACTAAAAACAGCTTTGTTTTGGAGAAGCTTCCAAGCCATTCTTTCAGCAAAATGAGGGGAGAGGCAGGGCCGGGGAGAAACCCTGTTGTTACTTCCCAAACAGCGACAGCCTTGTCCCACTCTGTTACTTGGTCTGAATTTCCCAGGTGACACTGCAGTGCCTCCCCACACCTAGATGTGAGCTGTTTGCAGATGGATAAGTTAGGAGCCATAGCTTATAACGTGAAAAGTGAACCTGGCACTCTCATTATCCACTACATCACCCAGGCCTTAGGTCAGCAGACTTGCAAAGCAGGCTTTGTGTGCACCACCATTTACTCTGCCTTGACCATTTTACCCAGTCCTTCTGCCATCCCTGCCTGGTGTAAACCCTGGAGTTGGCCTGCGGTGTTGCCCCTACTAACAGTCTACTTTGCCCCTGGGGGAATTCTTTCTGCACAGTTTTTGTAGGACTCCAGCTCTTGTAGGATTCGGGTCCAGCCAACTCAAAATGCTGATGGTGGGGAGAACCGCCTCTGCTCTCTGCCCCTCAGAGCAGCTAGGTGCCTCGAGCATGTGGACAGAGGTTCAGGCTTCCCCCCACCCGCCCTTCAGTGCCACAGACTTCTTCACCTATTTCAAACTCACCTCTGGACTACATCTGCTGCTGAACCAATCCCAATCCAGCAACTGACTGTAGTTCAGACATGAATATTAACAAGTAAGACAAAACAAAACAACAAAGATTTACATCAGAACTTTACTAGTTTGTCAAAGATGTAAACATCTTCTATTCAAATACTGAAAGAATTGTTTGTCCGCTTTTTGTGCTCTTCACAATGTTGCAGCAACAAGCATGACACACTTTTAAGTATAATCTGAATTGTTAACATTTTCCTTATTATTTTCACAAGTCTACAAAACAAATCAAGTCCTAGATTGTAGTGTTTGCCAATTTCCATGTTGTAAATACTCCCACCACGGCCAATTGTAAGCTACCAATGCAATGTCAGTGAACAAGGAGTCAGGAAGAGATACACAGTAGCACACCATTATAAGCATTTCCACTTTACAGATACAATGGATGAAAATAACCTCCAGTATACACATGAGAGTAAATGTCATAAAATAATTAAGATGTGATGAGTTTTGAATATTTATTACCATGATTTTCAATATAATTTACTTAATTATAAGTTTGTCTATATTTATTTATTTATTTGTTTATTTTTGAGATGGAGTTTCACTCTTTCTCACCCAGGCTGGAGTGCAGTGGCGTGATCCTGGCTCACTGCAACCTCTGCCTCCCGGGTTCAAGCAATTCTCTTGTCTCAGCCTCCCAAGTAGCTGGGGTTTCAGGTGCCTGCCAAGACACAGGGCTAATTTTTGGATTTTTAGGAGAGACGGGGTTTCACCGTGTTGGCCAGGCTGGTCTCAAACTCCTGAGCTCAGGTGATCCACCTGCCTTGGCCTCCCAAAGTCTTGGGATTACAGGCTTGAGCCACTGCGATCGGCCTAATTTATTTTTTAATAATGGTCATGTTTAACAACCGGCTTGCACAATTCCCTTGGTTTCAATAATCAGCTCCAGTAAACCACTGGCTTAGCCTTTACTCCATGAGGCGTCAGCACCATCACAACATAACCTTCCATCAAGGCCGAAGACATCGCATCAGCACCTGGCCGTGACCTTAAGCAGACTTCACCTGTCTGGCTAATTTAAATCTTAGCACTTCACCATCTGCCTCATAGAATTCCTCTTTCTTGTTCAAATATCTACCCTTATTTGTAAGCCTCGAGTCCAACAACTGATCGGATTACCAGCTCTGCCCCTTTACCTCAATTCTTATTACTGTGACAAGTACATTACTAATATTAATACTACTACTAATAATAATAATAGCAACAACAACAACTGACATTTATCAAAGACTTATCAGGAGTGTGAATCTGACTTAGACTTTTACACTTTTCTTTTTTTTTTTTTTTTACTTCTTTAATCTTGTACAGCTCTGTGAATAAGAATTTGTATTACCTTCATTTTATACATGAGAAAACTAAGGCACAGAGAAGTTAAACAAGCTACCCTATGACACACAGTAAGTGGGGGCGCCAGGGTTCCAGAGAGTCTGACTTCAGAGCCTGTGCTCTTAACCACTAGGCTATACTGCTTCCCTGCTAAGAAAATACTTTGAAAACTGCAATAAATATTCAACATTATTACTATTATCATTAGTAGTACTATTCAGGTATTCCAGAGGAATGATTTTCTATTTAATTGATTTTTCTATGTAAATGATTTTCTATTTAATTTTATTAAATAGAATACATCCAATAATTTATTCTAAAATTATTACAATTAATGATTTAATAAAATTAAACAGAAAAAGTGATTTAATTCTATTAAAGAGGTTTTATAATATTTTTAAAATATCCTTTAAATAGAGGGTAAACATTTGGAATCAAGGAAGAGAAGATGAGTTTCTCACACTGCCCTGACCTGTCATTCTCACTCTGGATCTCTCACCTAGAGGGCTTTCTCCTTCCCTCCTGTTAGAACAGAGAATTCCTTTTTTCTTTCTTGAGACAGTCTCGCTCTGTCGCCCAGGCTGGAGTGCAGTGGTGTCATCTTGGTTCATTATATCCTCTGCCTCCTAGGTTCAAGCAATTCTCCTGCCTCAGCCTCCCCAGTAGCTGTGACTACAAATAAATCTCAAGATGCTGTTACATAGAACCAGGATGAAAACTGGCTCTCACTGTAGCTGAGCATTCACCAAAACCCAACACTTTCTGTTTCTTGTTAATTCCCTAATGGCCTGTTGGTAACGTTAGACCTTGAAGCCATCCCTCCTCGCACCCTAAGGGATGGAGAAAGCTACTGTTCTCTAACCTCTCCTGTCCAGAGGCAACCAGGAACTGGGGAGTCAGCCGAAGCCCAGAGTAGCAGCATATATGTAACAACATTCATGCAATAAAGCTCAGACCCTTAACTCTGAAAAATGCTGTATTCCCTTTTATTCCCTTATGGGAACTTCCTTCCTCTTGCCTTATGCACAGTGCAAACAATCTTGATTATTTGGGCTTCTCAGCCTAAAACATTTTAAGAGCAACAACATGGCAGGAGAAAGGGTGTTACCAATGATTTAAAAAGTTACAGCTAGAAACCAGGTATCAAACAGGGATTTAGAGAATCAGCTGAATGTAAGAGAGATGCATACACTCAAAAGACAGCTGCTCTAGTATCATTCAATGAAGAGGCAAACTGTTGCACCTCCTTTGTGAACCCGTTACTCATTTTGCAGCCCAGTGTCTTAATCGTTATTTGCACTTGAGACCCTGTGTATTTAAGAAAAAGTTGGATGTGAAGTGGCATAGTCTGCTTGAAAGGACAGTTAGCACACGCAGACAGATGTGCAAATTTATGTTTATAATGTGTCTGTAATGGTAAAAGGGGAGCAACAGCCTAATTGTCTGTATGATAGAATATTAAGCAATGTTCGAAAGAATGAGAAAATTCTGTAAGTACTGAATTGGAACTATTTCCAAAATGTTGTTGACTGAGAAAAGGAAGATATAGAACAGTATATATAGCATGCTCCAAACTGTATCTTGTTTAAAAAGAAATATATAAAAATTTACTCACTTACATGATTTTCAAAAATATGTATAATATATACACACACACATAATTTATGCCTATATAAAAACTTAGACAATGTCCAGAAGGACACAAAAGAAACATAGACGGCACTTGTCCCTGGCAAGGGAAACTGACTGGGTGCTGACGGTGGGATAGAGAATTATTTAAACCTTTTATATTTAACTATAAAATATTTCAAACATGTACAAAAGTACAGAAAATAATATAACAGATGCCAGTGTAGCACTATCCAGATTTAACAGATGCTAAAGTGTTAGCGTTATGCTAAATGGAACTTAGCATTATGAGTGCAGCTAATAGGCGGGGCGTGGAGGTTTCTGCCTGTAATCCCAGCACTTTGGGAGGCTGAGGGGGGCGGATCACCTGAGGTCAGGAGTTCGAGACCAGCCTGGCCAACATGGTGAAACCCTGTCTCTACCAAAACTACACAAAAAAATTAGCCGGGCATGGTGGTGCGTGCCTGTAGTCCCAGCTGCTCAGGAGGCAGAGGCAGGAGAATTGCTTAAACCTGGGAGGTTGAGGCTGCAGTGAGCCGAGATTGCACCACTGCACTCCAGCCTGGGCGACAGTGTGAGACCCCTGCCACAAACTAAAATAAAATAGAATAAAAACAAGTACAGTTAATACATCACCCCTGTCACTCCTTTCTCCTTCCTGCCCCTTATTAACTAGAGTACTAAACTCAACGTGTCTCATTCCAAGTTTATACTTTTGAAACAAATATGTAGCCATAAAATA